TTACTGAAATTTATGTCAAATTAATATTCAGTTTAACATATATTTCAGTAGTTGTTCGAAATTTATTCGTTTGCTTTTCTCTTTACTTATACTTTTTCTCCTAACGGAAGTCTAGTTTGCACGTCGGTGTACAAAGAATCAATGGTGGGAAGAATGTTATACACGGTTGGGAACTAGGACGTAACAGGATCTATAATTTTACATAATTATCATCGTGGGATGTTCGTAAACATGGTATATTCGAGATCACGTTTTCAATTTTAATGATGGGGTTGTATTGTTCGTTGGAATTTCGTCAAACGCCAGCGAATCATCGTAATTTCGCTTTCACCGTGACCCATTCCGTTGTGAATTCTAACACGCATGCACGGACATATAAAATCCTTTTATGTTGGATTGTGTTTATGCTCAATACGCTTCGAATACCAAAATTTCTATCGCCGTGGATCGTCGCGAGGCATTCGGTACGTCTGCTTCTTCTTTTTTTTTTCTTTCTATAGACCTCTTTCTTCGATAAGAAAACAACTAAGGCAGTGGTAAGAATACAGGCAGTGTTTCCGTCATATAAATTTAATGAGATTTTGTAGGGTGGGAATCGATCGTCCCAAAGCCGTTTCCGGTTCCATGTATGCCATCAGAATACTGGGGAACTATGAGAAACTTTGATATGGAAGAGTGGTCGACTTTGTCGTTTGATATGAACGAGAAATTACGGGAACGACATTTCCTCGGGGATTAAACTTACGATAAAGGTTGCAATGAACTCGCAGTTGTACAGTCAAATTCCTTGTTTCCGTTTATTTAATCAAGGCCAAATAAAATCCCGTTGATAATCTTTCAATGTTTCCCGACCCCGTCACGATAGGATGGAAACGATTTTTTCCATAAATAAAAGTTCTACTTGAACGTGTCAGCCGTGGACGTCGCATAGGCATATAAAGTTATTTTTATCATATTTAATGGAAGTTTCCGAAGCATTTCGTATAGATCGTTCAGAAAGGAAAAATGTAGATAGAGAATCCGACATGGTAGAAAAGATCATTGCTCCCTTTCTCGTTAGTCGAGTGAACCGGTTTATCTTCTGTAGAAATTTCTCTTCAATTAATACTTCCGATAAATTATCATCGTACAGAATTCATAATTCGATATAACTATCTTGATTTCTCCCGCCGAACAAAATGGCCCCATTAAAAACATCGAACGTCACGCAACAAAGTGAATGGCTTCGGAATTTTTATCTTTAATCTACGCAGTCGTTCGCTTCTCGCCGGGGTCCTAGTGTTACAAAAAGAAAAATAATTCCGCGAAGAAAAGATTCTTCTGCGCGTACCTCGTGCATAGGGACCGTTTCGACGGACCGTCGAACGACGACGATCGTCGAGACGTCGTTTATTGCTCGAGACGATCCCGGAACGCTCGCGGTAAGACGGTCGAGCATAGACACGTTTCGCTAATCGTTTTCCTATTCGAATTATAATTAATCGCAATCCCTTCGACAGAAAACTCATCGAACAAGTTTCAATTCTTATATATTCGAGCGGCACGGACGAAGTTCCGTCAGCCTTTTTAAACGGTCACCTTCTCGCGGTTCCCATTTCTTGTCGCAGAGAACGCCAATCCACCGTCCCTTATACCGTCGTCGTGTCCGATTCTTCCATCTGGAGTCACATTCACCGCGGCATCGTCGTGTTGATCGCCGACGCGAAAGAAACCACGAAACCCTCGCGATGTCCTCGACGGAATCTCGCGATCGATCACGAAGACTTCGTCGCTGTTTGGCTTCCCGCCGGGGAAAGACACGAAGATCACGAAACACCTCCTCGACAATGATGAATAATGGAATAAATAGGGGTGTCTAGGTAGTCACTTCCATTTCGAGTTATCCGCCCCCTCTGAAGCTCGCGCTTTACGCGATGGTGTTTTTTCTTTTTCAGACGAATATATATATATACAACGATCTCGGGTGACATTTCGAATTTATTAAAATGTTCGATTCAAATTCGACGGGGATACAAAAACATTCTTTATCGCGAGTCCCTCGGAAAGATTAAGATCACCGTTACAATTCCTATAAAAAATCCTTGTCTCTCGTTTCTTCGAGGGTGTAAGGGCCGATGTTCGCGACGCTTCGTGTCGTTCCGACGTTTCCGGTTCTTGGGGCCCCCGGGGACCGCGTGAAGAACTCGCACCGGTTTAACAAGAATCTCCCTTTCGCGAAGGTGAAGTCAGTATTGTCGTCGAGGTTCGATCGCCAGTCTAGTCACGTTTCTCGATCCAAATGCTCGAACTCGACAGTTTCGTTGTAAAGATCTCTTTCTCCGTATCTTTCGTCGGTTCCTAGGAAGTATCGAGCGTCCGAGGACCGATGTCTTTCGACTCAAAATCCGCTGCTCTCGGGAACCGTTAAAACGGCCGACAATTACAAAAAATCGTCTCTACGAAATTAACGGTAAACGGAATCCTCTAGCTCGAGCGATCGATCGAAACTTCGCGAACCCCAACGTCCACCCCCATGTCTCGTCGTGCCTACAGAAAGGAAAACATTATTGGCTGACCGAATGGAACCGTTTCACAGACCAGTCCCTCCCCCCCCCCCCTCCCCCTGTTTCACAAACAATTTTCCTCGCCGCGTATATTCTTCCCGCGGTTTCCCGTGTTCGTCGATCTTCCTGCTGCTCGTTCCTTTTCTCTCTCCGCCCTGAAATCGATTCCTTAGGAAGTCCGCGCGCACCGTGCTTCTCCCGTCGCGATTCCTCACGCGGCTAGGCGCGTTCCTCGGGGACGCGATTCCTTCCCCGGGTCTCGTAGCTGGAGATAATCGATCATCATTCGACACCGTCCCTCCTATCGGTTCCTGATTATCGTTCCGGCGCGAAGTACGATGGATTCTTCGAGTAAAGGACCATGACGATCAGAAGGACGAGGACGAACAGCCGGCTGCCGTGACTCGAATACAACGTCACCACGCCCGCTAGCCACCACAACGTCGGACAGCCACCCGGCGCGGAGTTCATCCCTCTTTGAATCGCGGCTGGATGCTCACCTGTGGCACAGAAATTCATTTTAGTTTCGTTCCAGTGACCACGGAGAATTCTTGCGGGCGCTCGGTCTGAATTACAACGTGGAGAATATTTGATGGAAACAATCACGCGTTTAATGAGGTATTTCTATTCGGAGGGGTTGGAAAATTTATTGTTTAAAACATTGTATTTTCTTAAAGTATGATACCTTGAAAATTTGACCGCAATGCGATATGCTTTAATTGATTGAAATGATGTTATAACGATTTTAAGAGAACGGTGTACCGCTGCATGAGTTTTTCTCGAAACCATGTTTACCAAATTGATAAAATATTTCAATAATTAGGTAATCGATATACTTCAGCTGTGACATACATATTAAATAGACGTCTCTTTATAGTGTATACTAGTATTATGTAAATGTCTGCAATAGTCTTTTTTTATCGTCTGAAGAAGTTGCAAATTTAATGAACTTTGGTTTACATGACTACCATTCTGTTAAGACAATGTTTTTCTGCTTTATAGTACTTCACAAGATAACCACTTGTATGTAAATTAAGATTATCTTTGATTTTTTTGAATCGTGGCAGTCATTCAGAGCGATACGCTGCAAAAAACATGTTATAACTTTGTTAATATAACATATAATTACACAAAAATTTTACTGTGCTTTCTTGAAATGTGAACAAATATGTACCAAAAGTTATAAATTCCTTGGTCCATTAATTCTTACTTCTAAAAATCGCTTAAACATAATGCCTCATAATGGAAGTACCCCCATAATTATGGAAATGTTCAATGACAGATAAGATTTTATTATTCATTTAGCACAGAAATCATTTGGCAAGGAGAAATTGATTAACCCTCCGTGGGCGATGTGTTGATCGTTGAACCGAAACTTCATTTTTCTCAGGCTTTTCTACGAATTTCTTATTTTTATTGCAAAAACTTTCGAACACTTTACGAACAATTGAATAATGTATGAATCTTTTCAGATCCGTTGAAACCCTAAAACAGTAAAAATTGTTGGGCTTGGATAAAAAACAGTTTGCCTACGGAGGATTAACAGTAGCTCCGAAGAATTAAAGTTGTGCAGTATGGAATGTTATGTCATTTACGCCCATTCAAAATGCGTTCAACCGGGTCGTAACCTCTTCTTTTAAGTCTGTGTGTGTTAGAAACCTGACGTCAGCTCGTATTCACTTAAGAGGTCATTTTTTCCGTTTCACGAGGCCACGATATTACTACATATTTCTTTGCTTGGGAACGCGAAAGAGATTTATGTTAATGGAGCACGGGAACGCTTACCATTCAACACGTGAAGCTGCACGCTCGCGCTGTCGAAACTGCTCGGGCTGCAAGTGTAATTGCCCGAGTCCTCCCGTCTCGCGTTGCGGATCTCGAGGCTGCTGACCGTATCGTTATTGATCCTCTCCGTCTGGATGTCGATCTTGCCCAATTGATTGTCCAGGACACGGTCGCCCTCGTGGTACCAGAAAACGTAGAACGGCCCCTCGAGGGACTGCTTGATTATGCACCGTATGGCGACTGTGCTTCCGGTTTTTACATACATGTCGCGATCGCCTATGATCTCGATCTTTGGCACTGAAAACCACGATATAGATAGTTTCTACGGTTTCGGATCGTATAAAGCGAAACAGTAATTTTTAAGGTAATTAATTTAAAAAATTAACTTGGCATGTAAAATAATCAAACTATACAGGGTGATCGGTAACTGGTGGTAGAAACGGAAAGGGGGTGATGCTACATAAACAAATAAGTCGAAAATATAGAATAAAATTTGTTCATTAGAGACTTCGTTTTTGAGAAAATCAACGTTGAAAATCTGTTGTCTACGCGTGCGTCTGTTCATTGCATTCCGTTTCTACTAGCTACCATGATAGATTCACGCATTTCAGATTAATTTTCCGAGTCGATTTTCTCGAAAAGAAAGACCTTTCGATGTTATTCTAGCTTCTCGACTTATTTTTTAATGTAGAATCACACCCTCTCCGTGTACCATCCCTTATCGACCAGCCTGTATGAAAATGAACATAAAAATAAAATCTATGGTCCATGAACTCATTCGTAGACGAAAAGTTTTACTTAATAATTTCCCCGTTTGTACAATGGTAGTTGTATAAAAATTCATTTGAAGCCGATAATATGCGGAGTTCGCACTGACCTGGTATTTATAACTGGTACTGAACAAATGTTTCGCGGAAGAAATTTCAATGCGCGTTATTGTACGCGTTACATAAAGGAGAAAACGTATTTTTTCACTCGTATAACATCCCATCGTGTGCTGTCGGAACTTTATACTTTAGCGATCGATGACAGAGCTGTTCTACAATGTTGTAAAAATAACGTTCGCGCGTAAATCGCACGGTAGTAATAAACTCTGCAGTGATAAGGTGGGTTACGTTATTGGTTCGTTGTAAAAAAAAAAAGAAGAAAGAAAAAAGAAAAGGAAGTGTTTTTACGGGCTCACCGACGATGTTGAGCTTGATGATGTGACTTTTCTTCGGGTCGGTCGAGATTTGGCACTCGTACTCGCCTTCGTCGCGTTCCTGGACGTACTTAACCTGCAAGGTCCAGCTGTCCACCGCGTCTACGAAAAGCGCCTGGAACCTTTCGTCCGGGATAAACATGGTTCTATCTACCGAGAGGATATGGGAGTCCCTTCTTCTGACCCATGATACCTTCGTTGTTTAAAAAAGGAACAAACAAACATCGATTTAAACGATTGAAATCTATGTTCATTATAATACAGTGATGTGTTTGAAGGTAGATCACGACTATGGACTAATGATAATTGTCGTGTGAGGTTAAATAGTTCATTACTTTAAAAAAACTTGAAACGAAACGATCAGGACCGGGGACTCCATTTAAACCAACCGAGTAACAAGACTCTCGAATTGCATCAACCCAGGATCTAGAGATTCGAATTGGTCCATTCTAGAACCTAGATATTCGATTCGAACTAACTTGAGAGACTAGGATCGGATCTACTCTGGACTGAGAGATTAGAAATGGATCAACTGAGGACCCAGAGACTGGAATCGAACCTTCTTAGGATTGAGAAACTTGAATTGGATGAATTGAGGGTTGAGAAATTTAAGTTCGAGGACCTCCAGATCCAAGAAACAAAGTCTGAGGACTCCCTAACCCAGGGACCTAAATCGGGAGATCTCCTAACTTACGAATCCTCAGTTATTGGGGTCCCGTGGTCTTTTGCCCTGGGTCTATGGGTTTGGATATCTTTGGGTATGGGTCTCTGGATCCGAAGGTCCTCGATCTTGGTTCCCTAGACTTTTAGTTGGTCTAATTTAAGTTCTTCGGTCATTGTTTCGTCTGAAACAAGAAATTTTGTGGATCTTGGATGGTCTAATTAGACTTTCTCGGCTCTGGATTGACTTGTTTCGAGTCTCCCAATTTGGAAATCACGACTGTTCGGGTTTCTATAACCTACGAACATCCTATTCGACTGCCCCAGTTCTGGAGTAACTTGATTTACTTTTGTCGATCATTGATTTGTCTGATTCCAGACAGTCTATGATGGTGCAATTTGTCTTTGCTGTTCTCGTGTCATTTTAGTTAGATTGGTTCGGTATGAATTGTTCGGTTTCAGACTGTTCAACCCAACAATTTCATTCATTAAATATGAATATTCATCGACAAAGAGAAACCAGCGCATATTTTCGATATTTAAGTAGCAGCCTGTATAAATTTCAGCATACCAAGTAACAACCATCCTATTAATTCTCACGTTTAATTATATATTTTGAACGAATCGTTTTTTACGTTAATACCTGCATTATAACATTTAATTGGGATTTTAATTAAACATATCACGGTAATTTAATAAATCGTACTGTTTTATAAGTTGCAGGAAATGTTACAGCGTTTCAATGGTATTCATATCGGATTTATTATACATTCGAATCAATTTAATTTTCTCCCGGTGAGATATTATATTAAACATTAAATTGTCCATTGAATGTTTAAATCTACATTCGCCTCATAAACAATCGGTCACTGGGTTCACCATGAATATTCCGTGTTGTTTTTCCCCGTGCCCGGTGGATCCGCCACATCCGACAATTTACTGTCACCGTTCATCCGCATCCCCGCAAGAATTCCCGAGGTTCGTCGTAATCAATTCTGTACACCGTTCGCGGTTTTTCGTCCGCGCGCGGTACCGAAATAGAATTTACGAAAAAGCTGGCACCCATTCACACAGAGCTCGGGTGTATTTTTCTCATCAGTTTCGCCGTGGAAAAGTCTCTCTTTCTTCCCAACAAAAGGAAGGGGATTATTAATCTTTTCTTTTATACATCCCGCCTCATTGTTATATCCTCCGCAGGGAGCTCGGCGCGGAAGTATCCTCCCGGTATGGAAGGAAGGCAGGGAGGGCAGGAGGAATGGTCGAAATAAAGCAATAGGGACGTTTCTAGCGACGACGTAGCGAAAAATTCAACCGTGTGTCTGCTAGATTCCAACGGAGAGAGCTTCTCCTACGGATGAATACGGACAGGGAACCGAAGGCAGAAAAAACTGGGCCAAAGGTGGGGTAGGAAAAAGAGCGAACCGAGCCCGTTCGACTTTCCGATCCCGGTTCGATCAATCTTCCTTCTTCCCTTGTCCACGGGGTTAATTTATCGTGCGTCGATCGGGTCTCGCGGAAGGTTTCTTTCGTTCCTTCCACCGCCTGGGGCTGTATTCCGAGCGAGCGCGACAAGAAAGCATATTAGGAGTACATTCAATTTATTTGCCGCGATAAGTATCCTGAACGGGCGTACCGGGTCGATTCAACCACGCGCCCGGCAGGTGGCTGTTCCGACCGATGTAACCCCACGACTTACGATGTCCTCATCCCTCAACACCCAACCCCCCACCCCTCCGTGGAAGTTGTAATCAACAAAGCAGACTAAGTGCTTCTTTGCCACGGCTCGAGTGAAACAGCGACGTCGAAAGGTAGTAATTTCAGCCGGTGAAAAATTTGCCTACGTCGGTGTTCCGTAACGATTGACGCTGATGACCACGGAAAGCGTTATTGTTTGAACTTCTCAGGCTGACATTTATTGCCCAGGAAACTCGAGGTTAAGCTATGGCGGTTCCGGTTGTTCGATATTAGTTATCGAACTGGTGAAATTTAGTTGTAGTACATGTACGGAGTTTTATGCAGTGATTGGCGGAAACTGGGGTGAAACAGAAAATCTATTACTGTATTTAAGGTATTATTAGTAATTAATCCTCTGGGACCGAGGTGGATTCTTACACAAATTACTTTCGTTTCTGGGGAATTATGGATGATAAAGTAACTCTGCAGACTATAGACATCAAGAAAATCATAGGGGTTAATTCTAAATCATAATTTTCAGTTTTAATTTCAAGCAAGGCATTAAGAGCAGTTTTTTAAAACCACTAATCTTGTACTCCTTCATGTTTTCACGATTTCACATAAGCATTTTTAATCGTTTCCCATTCCATTGCCCAATATTTAGGTGTCACATTCGGTGGAGTTACCCCAAAGAATTCATCTTTAAACGTTTTCTGCCGTACACTTCAATAATTCCGTAGGGCGCGTCGCGTGGTACAAATTGACTGGGGTCGTGGCGAACAGGATTTCCTGGAACGAAACACGGGCGTACAAAAACGAAGGGGTGTACGATTCGGTGATCGCGAGCTGAACGTGTGTTCCAGGAAATTTCCCGCAAAGAACAATCGTTTTGAATCGTGTGTTCCGTGTACGCGTCACGGAGGGGAGGTTAGCACAATGGTCGTTGACAGAAAGTCACCGGTAAAAGTATGTTTAATTCCGCGGGGCGTGATAAGTATCGGGGGGCGTGTGAAGGGGGGAAGAGGGGGGTCTCGGTTGGTGTCCAGGAGTGGGTGTTCGCGACCCTCGAAGTACGCAGTCGAACGATCGCGAAAGGGGTCTGGTCGCGTGTTGTCAGACACTTAGTCCTGGGGCTCTTTCGAGGTACAACTTTCGTGCCCGTAACACACCGAGAGACCAGGGGGAGGGAAAGCAGTCGAAAGTGTTCGTTAACGAGTGATATGGGGCCCGCGTGTACGAAAAGTTTCACAGTTTCGCGTCGCCTTCTGAAAGGATACGCTGCGACGGTTTTTAACCCTATCGCGAACCCAATTTCTATGGTGGCACTACCAACTTGTTGTTACTCGAAGAAAGTTTATAGTTAATCCTTGAAGTACGGTGACCGGGTCCGTTTTGACTCGAGTGTTTAAAAACCGTATCTAACTGATGGATTTGAAAATATACTTTAAGCTACGAGTTATTCGTACTTAGTCGTATAAAAAAAAGCAGGTGTTTTATTAATGATCGCGTTAGGAAGTATGTTTAAAACGAAGGGAGCATCGGATTTCAAATGGAGTCAGACGCTACAGTATATGCGAACATTAAAAACGTCTGGACTCCGAGGGTTAATATACTCTCGATCATAGAATAATACATGTACAGTATATCCTCGATGAATGTTTCGAAGGCTCCTCGGCATTGACAAGGAGAGGTCTCCAGGTGTAACGTTGACTTTTTAATAAGGGTTAGCACCGTGGTAGTGCTTGTAATTGTGACCCCAATTTTCAGCCACATACGGCCATTAGTTTATGGAATATTTCATGTTCAGTGCCGAGCAGCCTTCGAACACTCATCGACGATTTACAGTACTCAGAGAAAAAGATCATGCCGTCATAGCTGTCGACACCGGCTTTGAAGAGAAATCTTAAATGGGCTCATAACTTAGGCAGCGATCGCAAAGGGTTGAATGTGTCCCTTACCCCGGAACGTGCGGACTTCTTTTTTATTTTTTGCGCAACGTGATCGCCCCGTGATATGGGTTACCCTGTGTGCTTGGACGGTCACACTCGCCTGGTCTGGGTCGCTCGTAAAATTCGCGGTGGTACTCGTATAATCCCGCTCTAACGGCCGCGAATCCGGACAGATTAGACTTTTATAGTTCGGCATAAATTTCCACGGTGAACGAGCGCAACATACACACACACATACACACACAGAGCTAGATAGAAATAGAGATAGATACGGCCGCGCGACCAGTATATCGCGCAGGGTTATCGTCGCTATTTCGATTATTGTAATAGCGCGAACCGGACGTTCCGCCTCGCGCGAAATATTGACACGATGGGAGAAACAGGGGGCTCGATAGCGCAGGGGAGCTCTCGTTCGATGGCGGATCAGCGGAGTTCATGGAAACCGACGAGATGGGGGTTGGTCCCCCAGATACCATCGACGCCGGCCCGCAGAAAACTGGGTATTCGCGTGCAAATAAATTCGCTTTATCGCGGCACGGGAGGGCGACGGTATCCGGTCGTGCTTTTTGCAAGGAACGGGGACGAGATAACCGGGTTCCCGAAGTTCGTGAATGCCTCATAATCGACCAGGAAATTAAGGAATTCGTAATTTGTCCAGCGCTGTGCACGTATGTACATTCTCGAGAAGACCGTGTGATAACTTCATCTGGTCGTTATACAGGGTGTTGTGGAAGTAGGGGAGACTGGGGATTAAAATTCCTCTTTCCGTCTTTCGTTTGTCTGGTCACAAGACAGCTGGAAGTATTTATACTACATTTGCGATGGGGCAAGTTGTTATGGTAACAATGTACTTTGTGAATCAAGGTTTGTGTTAAATAGAGATTCAAAAGGTTCCGTTTAAATGTTAGAAGCACAATTTTGTATTATACTTAATTGTAGAAAAAGTGATGGACTTACTGATTTGTTACCGAGCTGCCGCACTCTACACGGCAAGTACGCATGCCTCCCCAACTGGGCTGTGACGTTCGTCGGAGTGTTCGCGTCGAAATAGGGACCCGTGTAAATCCCGTCGAACCTCTTCACCAACGAATGAGACCTTGTGCTCACCCCTGAAACATTTAATGAATTTTTTAACGACGTTTCGGCATTTAAACAATGAAGAATCGAGGAAGAAGTTTCGATTATTAGAGGGAGAATTTTAACTATATTCTAGGATTGTTCATATACGACTTGGAAGGAATTCAACGGGTGATTTGTATAAATATTTCTGTAGATCGCAAGGTTTACTTATAGCTAAATAATTTAGCATAATAAAAGGTTAACAAGATTTACCATCTTTAGAACCTAATAGAATCTTTTACAAAGATTTCTGTTTGACGATTATTTCTCTATAACTATTCACAATCTACTGATTCAAGTGCGTTTGAAAATAGTTTCTACCGATAATGACTTTAAATTATTTTTCTCGCTAAATATTAATAAACTAAATATTACTTTGGACCAGCCACACGTCGATAGTCATACAGGGTGTAACAAAACTTGGAATTGACTTGGAACACGTATTTCCTTATAAAAAATTTTATCCAAGTCTCTGTTAACGAAATATTATCGAAAAACCCCGATCAAGCAGACCTAACCCAGACCTACAAAACTTTTGTTACACCCTGTATATCTTCACCTCCGAGTTTAATCCACAATCGCGATTATATTTCTTCAATCCTCCACAGTCAACACTCATACAATTCTCACAAACACTTAAAACGAATCCACCTTTTCTTACCCAGGATTCCAAACAGTTCCTTGATTAAACAGAAAATCGTCGCACGCTAGAAACCTCCTCAGTTTCACGACACTCCTGCCAGCCCCGGAATACTGTCGTTGCACAAATTCCCGGAAAGGTGTAGCGACACGAGACACTGTCACCGTGCACCAGGACGCGAGCACGAACCGTTTACGAGTCCCACGAATCCCCGGGCGAAGTTCTCTCTTAACCTGAACGCCCCCCACCCTATCTTAAAAGGTTGCATTAGCGTGGTTCCCTGACCGCGCCGGGTTGTTATCCCGGCCGAATTTACATTGTACCTGATCTCGGTAGCGTAGCCATGATGGAATAATAAAAGGATCACGGGAATACAGTGTATTTCGCATTCGTGACTTCCATACACACCGGTTTCGACCTCCACTACCCCTTCGCCCCTCTCTCAACCACCCGTCACTCCTTTCAGAATAAATCCTATCAGAGCTTCTGCCAAGCCATCGTGCCTTGGGAAAATGGATACTAATCCCAGGATTCCGATTCGGGGGGATACGAACGGCGGATCAGCGTTCGGCCCGAAAACCAACGCGGGCTTCGTTCCAATCGACCTTGAGAAAAGGAATTTGTTCGCGCATCGTATCTCTTATACGTGATACGATATCGCACACACACAGCAATCCCGATGCAACCAATCTTTTCTTCCCTTGTATTTTTTTTTCTTTACCTGGAAATGGTGCCCCGAAGATCGATTTATCTTGGGAGATTGATAATATTGGGACACGAATGCTATTACGTTGCGACGTGTATGGACGGTTCTTTGATATACTGGTTAGTGGGATGATGTTTATGAGACGATGCTAGAGCGATGGTTTTTGAGGAAGCTTGGAAGGTGAATGCTGTTATTGAAATGGAAAATTGAGTAGTGAAGATACAACGCAGACGTTTGTGGCTGCTGTGAGATTGATGGAAGTTTTTATTGGATTTCTATCTTGACACTTGATTTGATTGGTTTTATCGCGAATTAATGAAGTGTGGTTTTTGTAAATTCAGTTGGCATGACGCCACTGTGTCGTCATCGGTCGTCATAGTGTTAATAAGAATTTGGATGGAAGAAGCATGTGTATATGAAAATATGTATTTCATACTCGATTTTCACTGCGACTCCATGCTTATGGAATGTTAGATGATTTTATACATTATATAGCCAAGATTTCAAGACTATTTCCGTGTTCGTATTTCAATGATAATTATAGTATTACCATATTACAAGTTTTCAGTATGGATCACTACGCAAGGAATTCTTTAAAAGTTTCTAGACGCGAGATCGTAAATGGCGAAGAATAGTCATAATACCGCTGTTAAATCCAAGCATTGCGGGTTGTTCTCCTCCCTTACCACGAGACTACGTACAATTTAAAAAGTTACAAGTCGTAAGGTCGGGGTCGGCGTCTCTGAATTGAGGGGTGAAAACTTGGAGAACATTCTCACGTATAATTGAAATACTTATCGACGTCGTTTACGGTAGTAATGAGTACTTCTTGCTTCTTGAATCCGTGCAAAGAGTATTATCCGAACAATATTTTCAATTCAAGTTTCTTTGAAAACATCTTGATTAAAAAATTCCAGTGAACACTTTTTACTTATTTTTATGTTAAGCATGTACGGATTACCTGTCAATTAAACCTTTTCTATAATATACTAACTGTAAACCTGTACTGATTTCTCTTTAGTTAGTATATCCTGTCTATGAAATTATTGTTTTTCCAGAGATTACGAAATATTTGGAGCTGCTTTCTGTCCAGACGATTTTACGATCCAAGCAAAATTCCCTCACAGATGAGCTTTTTGAAAACCAGGTTCTGTTTATAGCAAATTGCTGTAAAGATTTCTTAAAACGAAACCTTATTATTTAAACTATCGTTTCTTTGGCAAGTTTGAAATACACAAAAATAGCAAAGCAATTCATCATTCGAAATCGCTATTATCTCAAATGCACCGACGATATTTTTCTTTTCAAATACCAGTATTGAAAATAACGTTTCGAAATAAATTCTTTACGTATTAAAATTATTTTAACGATCACTCGCACGATCAGAAGAAAATTATGATGACACCGATCTTTTTGCGCGTTACTCGTTTATCGAACGATAACGGCGCCAGTGCATTAGCGCGAGCTTACGGATGGAATGCTGCATTCGCGGATCGTCGTTGAATCGAACCGTTTATCGGGAACGTTCGTTTGTTCGCTTGGATTGGAATATCGAGCGATATCCTCTCGCGGAGGATGCAAAAATCCGCGCCTTCGTTGTCTGTATGGTATCGGTGAGAAGACGTCCCGATTTATCGTCGATACTTCGAGTTCGTGAGTTTATATACGGGCGGCGAAGAAGAAGAGCTCCGATAAAACAGCTATTCGAGGGGCGAGGGGAGAGGGGAAACTTTTTACACTTCGGTGCTATCGTTGGCAACTCGTTCCCCCGCGTTATTTAACTTCGTTCGACCGCGGCCGCGTTCTTTCGCCGAACGACTTTCAATCCACTTCGGAAACCGCGAAATCCAACGCGGTTTCTCTCGGCAGGCTTGGATAAAAGAGGTACCCCGGGTGATTTCGGGCGTTTCGTATATCATAAACCTGCAGATTTCAACCGGAAGTTCGTTCCGTACTTTCGTGACTGAAAATTATTAAAATGGTCGTTCTTTGCACGTCGATCTAACGCCTTGTATACTCTACCACGATGGAACTGCAATTTTGGATTGATATTTTGCATGTACGATAGGAGTTCATATATTTGATCGATATCAAAATTAAAGTTCGTGCGAGTTCCTTTAAGTTCACCACCGATGCGATTGCCATAACAGAAATTATTCGAAAATACCATAATCGAATAACAGTCATGTTCGTTCGAGCATAAATGAATTTCGAAGGTTCGCGAATTAGTTAAATACAATGAACGTAACTTCTGCAGAGAATTATATTCAATTTTTTATGTTTCGTTCGATTTCACAAGAATAAAGCCGAGCGAGGTAATAAACTTCACGTGATATTAATCACGCGACTAGTAAAAAATCGTACACGGAAGTCATACACACAATCGAGGTATGGCTTCTATAACGACGGTAGTTTCATAAATAAAATTATATTCTGTAAGTAACGCGAATAGCCCGGTCTAGATTTCGAAAAATAGCCGTCCGCTTCCCAGAAAGTTCTACGTTTCATCGTTCCCCTTTATGCAATTATTTCTAAACCGAATTCATAAAAGCAACGTTAAATAACGCAGCCGCGGGCTCGATGTTGCCAAGCATTCATTTTTCACGTTAAATTACTACCCGCCCTTTGTTCCCTTTGTTGCCGCGTGTTCGTACAGTTTTAACGTGACGTAATAAAGACGGCCGCTAATTAATTAATTAACCGACGACGCGGGGCTAGAGCGATGTGATCCCGACGTTATGTAACTGGACTAGACGATCCTTCCTTCGATCGCGGTATTCCCTGGCGGAAAATAATGCCTGGTCATTGCTGCAACGGAAAAGAAAAAAAAAACGAGAAAAAAAAAGAAAAGAAAAAGAAAAGAAAACAGGTTCCGTGTTGCTGGGCTGTGACGTAACTGCTATGGGGGAACGTGTTAAAGGGGCATAAGGAGAAATGCATTAGCGTTATTGCTGTATTATTCAACATTATTTTACGCGAACGAAACGAAAGAAAACCCGAAGGAGGGTGGATAACCGGCGTTGTACGTGTCTCGGTGGAGGGGAACACGTAGAATAGGAGCGTGACGTGTCGGACGACGAAGTGGATGAGGTAGTTCATTAACCGACACGAAAGTGTCGTGAACCGAGCTCGACGCGTAGCGGTTCCGTATTCGAATACCTTGGTCAAAACTACATTAATGTAGGAGAATTTAATATTCCATTGGAAGACGTTAAAAAGCAATAAACCATACAAAAATGTATATACATAGATATGCATGGAAAAACAACGTTGCCAAACGTACCAGAAACGAGCACCGTGGAGTCATACGACTAACCAAAATATATTTTTTATTTATAATATAATGAAGAATGATCAATGGAAATTTCATTGAATTTTATACATTATTAAAATGTATTAGTGGGTGTTTAATACCAATTATTAATATGATGTTGTATTGACTAGCAAGGCAGGGTCGAACCACCTTATATATCAAAGACTTTTCGCCCGAAGAACTTGGTTTTGAAGAACTTTTTGGCCAATCCAATATCTCCTTCGGAGTGTTACGATACAGCATATATTTCGTATGCAATTTGAATGTTATCGAAGGACGAATACACAGCAAAGAATATGCAGTATTTGGAAGTCATTTTTTTCAGAATTTT